GGGGAGGGGCAGAGAGAGAGGGAGACACAGAATCCTAAGCAGGCTCCAGGCTCTGAGCTGTCAGCCCAGAGCCCGACGCGGGGCTCGAACTCATGGACCGTGAGATCATGACCTGAGCCGAAGTCGGCCGCTTAACCGACTGAGCCACCCAGGCGCCCCAGGTTATGTGAGTCTTTACTGATGCCTCTACATCTGAGCCAGCAGGATCTTGACCAGGCCACCCCATGTGTTTGCTATGCGCCCCTGGATTTGCGTCAACTGCCACTGTACTATGTATGTCCAGGCCACTGAGACTAATGAGGCCAAGCACAGAGTTCTGTGGCACACCATCAGAGACTTCTCAATACATTTTCTTTGGACAGCGGGCCTGTGCCGACATGCGGCCTGGCTTGACCCTTATCTTGGCCCCACATTAAGCCCTGCCTCAGTGCTAACTGAGTTAAACCCCATTTGGGGTATGCTACAGCCCGATGTTAGTTTGAGCTCATAAACTGTCGCTTAACTTGGAGAAGAAGCAAGGCTGGGAGGAGGGGATCTTTAGCTTTCCCCCTCGGCAGGACTTTTTGAGAAGAGGAGACAGACAACCACATGGGGCCCAAGATCAGGGCTGGGACCATGGGAGAAAGCTGCAGAGGCAGAGACCAGAGCAGCACAGGCCCGTCGGACAGCTGTCAGAGCCAGCCAGAGAGGGTATGCGCTGTCCACGGGGAGGTGGGGGCAGAGAACTTGGGCTCCTCTGACCACCATTCCCTTATCTCAGCCTCGGCTCTGAGTATGCCTGGGGGACGAAGCCTGGGGAAAGGTGGCCAGGGAGGTTCCGCTGAGTAGAGGTCTGGCCTGGAGGCCTGAGGCCTGGCCGTGGCTTGCTGTGGCCCCGGACAGCCTTTCTGTCTGTCTGCATGCCCACCTTCAGTCTGCAGGGTATCAGGAAAGTAGCCCTGCTCAAAGGGACAAGGACCAATCCCCCTTCCCTCTGCCGGGAAGGCAGATGCAACGTAACCTTCATTTCTTGGTGCCTGCCTTAGCCACTCTCATCTTCTTCAACTGCCCTGTAAGATGGCATTATTATTTTCTCCATGCCCCACTGAGGCTCAGAGGGATGTGTCGACTCGCCCAGCGTTGGTGAAGTCTCCCTCCATAGCCAGCAGTGATCATACAAAGCCCAGAATCTTCCCAAACGGGAGATTCTACAGAACCCCTCCATAGCTACAGCTCCCCTTCATGAACCCCGTTCTGTTATTTACATAACAACTTTCTTTTCATTGAGCCCCCTCCTTTTTTCCTACATGCAATTTCATATTGAGTGGACACCAGTCTGACTTGCTGTGGATTGAAGGTGACTCTCAGAAAAATGACCACGAAAACACCACAGTGTTGTTCAGTTCCAGCCCCTGCCTGCAGAAAGCTCAGAGCCAGGCTCCCTCTTTCTCTGTTAAAAAGGGAGATTAGAAAGTGCTAGGGAGACGCCGAAGAAGGAACCAGGGCAGACCGGCGCCTTAACTGGTTCCAAAACCATGAAAGAGAAATGGCGGCGGCTGAAGCTTCCCAGAGCGAGATTGGAGGGTATTTAACACCATGTCCACTAGACAACTCAGACGGGCGCCCGTGGCGCACTTGGGCCCCGGCCCCAGGCGGCCCCTGACCGCCGCCTGCCCCGTGCAGGTCTGGTGCCGCTGCATTACCACCATCTTCAACTACTTCGTGGTGACCAACTTCTTCTGGATGTTCGTGGAGGGCTGCTACCTGCACACGGCCATTGTCATGACCTACTCCACCGAGCGCCTGCGCAAGTGGCTCTTCCTCTTCATCGGATGGTGTGAGGTTCCCGGGGAGGCCGCAGGGCCTGGTGGGGAGGGGGCACTGCTGACAAGGTCACCTCCCTTCATCTTGGGTCCAAGGACAGGTCCACAGCCCTGCCTGCTGTCCCCAGGACAGTCTGAGGATGCACACTCCCTTCCATTGCTGGTGAGGAAGGAGCAAATTGTCCCTCCAAAAGAACATTTTACAAGTAGCCCTCCTCTCTCTGCCTGGAAAGGCCAATCCAAGGACCTTTGTCTCTCGCCGGGAAAGAGAAGCCAGCCAGCATCACTTCTCTATCCAACAATCTCAGAAAACTGTGCCATCCCCTCATCTGTCTGACCTGTTTAGCAGGGGGATGCTGAGAGGGGGGAAGGGTGCGGTCAGGGTCTAGGGCAGACCCCTCCTGGGACCATGGATGGCCATGCGCTTGGCGATTGGTTCCAGGCCCCTTGTGGTCCCCTCACCCTGTGTTCTACAGGAGGGTCCTTGTCTGTCTGTCTGTCCGCTGTAGCCTGTGTGTGTCCTTCTTTCAGGCATCCCCTGCCCCATCATCATCGCCTGGGCCATTGGCAAACTCTACTATGAAAATGAACAGTAAGTAGGACTGACCTGTCACAGGGGTCCACGGGGTGTTAGAAAAGGTCAGCCAAGGGCTCCAGCCAAGCCATGGGGCAGGAAATGAAGTCCTTCCAGGACAGATTTATTTTCCCATTGTCTTAAAAATTGAAAAAAAAAAAAAAATCCCTGGCACCCAGGGGTACTCATGTGGTAGATGCCAAGTCAACTTTGTTGATCTGAGTTAGGAGTCATAGCTCCTTTAAGTGCCCTAACGCTTGACCCCCTTTGGTAAGGCCTTTGGCCTTTGGTAAGGCCTCCCCCTCGGAGTGGCAGGTCTGGCCAAGGGTATATACAGGAGGCTTTCAGCCTAGAGCACATCCAAGTCTGTGTCACTGAGCCTTTTTCATAGACCCCTGGACCAGGGCAGTGGATGCTTGTTTTATTCAGGCCTCCCAGTCTCTGCCGAGGGTACATTGTCCCATCTTGGGACCCTCCTTGCACCAGAGATGCTGATATAGAAGCCACACCCAGATGATGGCAGTTCTAGCCACGTGTCAGCCAAGAAGTGGCTGGGAAGTTGGGTACCTCCAGCTGAAAATAGAGGGGACAGGGGAATGTCAGTCTCTGGATAAAAATCTCCAAGGGGTCTCCGAGGCAAGAGATTGGTGGGCTCCGAGAGCTCAACATCGGGAAGAGCTCCCGATGATAAAAACTACCCAAGAGTAAGAAGGCCGCCTTGTAAGGTAGTGAGGTTCCCGTCCAAGGGGGTGTTGAAGCAAAGATCAGAAACCTCAGTGCTGGCAGGTACCGGGGCAGATTCCTGTCTAAGGCCGTGTGCACTGGGTGACCTCTAAGGTTTCCGAGGACACAGCCAGAATTGCCCAAAGTTCACGTGGACCTTCCTGAGGTGCAGCAGGAGTTGTTGACAGAGCCAGACTGTGTCCCGGGCCCACCCTTCCCCTGGACTCGAGCTTCTCCACCCGCCGGCATCCCCAGAGAATAACCAAGCCTCTGGGAGCAGTGGGCTCCTCTCACTGGATGAATGAGGCTCAGCTCAGAGAAAGGCGAGAGTTCAGGCCCAGAGACTGCTCCCGCCTCTACGTCTGTTGCTTTGTGCAGCCGAGTACCTGGCACGTGGGGCGGCAGGTTCCAGGCGATGCAGAAACAGGTGGTACAGGGTGGTTGGGCCCTGGGCCAGCAAGGCGGGGACTGGCTGTCCCATCACTCACGAGCCTCCTGCATGGCCCGCCCTGGGCCCAGCAGTGTGGAATGAGGAGGGGAGGGAGGAGGAGGAGGAGACCCAGGTCTCCAGCTGGGGAGACCAGGCCCTCCATGGAAGGTAAAGGGCAGCCCGGGGGTGAGCCAAGAAGGTCCCACGGTTTTGGGGAAGGCACAGCCCTAGAGACTGGGTCTCAGGAAGGGTCAAGCCGGAGAACCCTGGGCCCAGGTCTACTGTGGTGCCCAGACTACCGCTCAGCAGGCCACTCACAGCCACCCCGTCTTTGCAGGTGCTGGTTTGGCAAGGAGCCTGGTGACCTGGTGGACTATATCTACCAAGGCCCCATCATCCTCGTGCTCCTGGTAGGTCCTCAGTGGGGACTGGGATGGGGAGGGCACCAGGAGGACAGCAGAGGACCTACCCAGCAGGGATGCTGGGGAAGACATGGCCTGGAATGGCCCCTGCACACACTCCGTACTCACCAGCCCACTTCCCGGCAACCCCCTCCCGCTATCCCTTCTCCAGCTTCATGCCCTGGCGCAGCCCCGTCACCTCTGGCCCTTGGGTTCTCTCTCTGGGCAGAGAATGGTTCTGACCGGCAGATTTCTAGCGCCTCCCATATGTGACATCCCCTTGCCAGGTCCTGAGACAGCCAGGTGAGGGGGCAGCTGGTGGCAAGAGAAGGGGGTGTGGACTTCTGTTCAGCTCAGACCAACATCCTCCTCAGCCCCCAGCGCCCCCCTCCGGGGCCCAGCCCACCGCCCCCAGCCTGGAGCAGTGGTACCAGAATGAAGCGTAATGAGCAATTGTTCCTTGTCCAGCTCCCCGCCCTTTGCCAAATGTATTCACATCTAAGGTATAATTGCGCCACGTCTTTAATCCATAACGAGCTTTAATTAAGGTAGAGTTTAAGTAGAGGCTGCGTTCTGCAAAAGCGAACCCACTATATATCACACATTTTAAAAAAGAGACATGCAAAAAAGCCCCATAAGAAATTGGCATTTACGTAAGACTTATTTCAGGCTTGGTAATTTCGGGCTCCTGTATGCACCAGCTTCCTTAAAGGGCCACCCGCTCCTTGTGGGATACAATCGCCATCCTCCTCTTGTACACAGCAGGTGCCTAACGGGGGTTCTTTGGTCTACCTTGGAGACAATGAGTGTTTATCTCTTTCATTTCCTGACTCTCCTCCTTTTTGTGACTTCTTCTGGGATTCATATGACCCCCATCTTTGGAGTGTCCTTGATGTATATGCACTAGAGATGACTAGGGAGGTTTCTACCCACTGCCTGAAATTCCACCATCAGAAATTCCACCTCATTTCAAAGGCAGAAGTAGTGAGTGTCCTTGGAGTCCCAGCTGCAATGAGTCAGTCATCCCCACCCCCAGTGTGAACGGAAACCCCTTGAGACCCGTCCCCTCCCAGCCAGCTGCTGAGAGCCCATCGTGGAGGGACAGGGCTTTTTGTGAATCTGGGATCCTGCCAAGGAAGGCTGGCCTGGGGGGGGATGGGGGGGGATGGTCAGCAAGAGTGGGGAGGGACTCCCGGCTGCAAGGATGTTGGGCAGCAGTAAGGAAATGGAAAAGGGGAGAAAGGCACGGGGGGCTCCGTGCCAGCCCCCACTCCTCACCTGTTGTTCCACGCCTTTTTCTCTGCTTCTGCCCTCACCTCTCGGTCCAAGAGCCCTTTGCTTCTCCCTTTGGGCCTAGCACACGGCCAGCCATCACACGTAAAAGGCTTCCAGGTTCCAGACTGAGCCTGTCCAGAAGCCCCGTCTTCATTACTTCCAAATCTCATATCGTCACTGCCTGGAAACGGGAATTATGATGCCCATTTTACAGATGAAGGAACTGAGATGAAACTGCCTGCTGAGCTGAGACTCGGGGCCGGTCACCCACCACCTGCCTGTCCTCTGCATTGGATACGTGCTCAGTGCTCTGCCCTCCCCCAATGGTTCACAGCTGCATTCCTGCTGCTGAAAGACATGAACGAGCTTATTTCTGGGTTCCGGGAAGTGAATTGGCTGTTTCAGTTTGTAGGAGGCTGTTGTCATGGGAAAGGCATGTGGCACTTCTTGGGTTCCGCTCTGGACCAGGCCCGAGGCTCAGTGCTCTCCATTGAGTATTTTAACCTGTGCCGACCTTCTCAGACAGACTCTGTGGTGTATCCCTTTTGGACGGGTGAGGAAGCAGAAGCTAGGGAGGTTAATTAAGCAACTTGCCCAGGGCCACACGAATGCCAGTTGAACAGCCAGAATCAGCGCCATGTGACAAGATCGTGTGCCAGGCGTTCAAGTGAGAGGTGGTCCAAGGAAGTACAGCGAGGGAGGGGGGAGTGGAAGACAAGGAAGGAAGGAAGGAAACCAACAAAGGGTGAGGTGACGAGCTGGCTTCCATGGAGGCAACCACGCAGAAGAGTCTCAGAACTGCTCCCCGTGGAAGGTTTGGAAGCTAGGTTACGTATCTACACATTTCATGCCCCATCAGTGGAGGTTGCTCTGTGGACAGGAGACCCCCATATTTCCAGGTCCCCTGCTTTGAGGCTGAACTAGCTCCCCTGCCCCAGAGGAAGCCTGAGGCCGAGAAACGTCCCCTGCAGCTGCTGGTGAACGCAGGTCCCTGGAACCCCGGAACCCCGCATGCCTACAGGGTGTGCCACATCGGGTCTGACTAAAGTCTCCTCGCTCGGTGCTCCCCCCAGCAATGTCCTAGCAGCCCCTGTTCCAAATAGAAATTCCAGGCCCCTCACCCACCACTGGGAATGTCTGGGGCAGGGGGCCAGATCTGCATTTGGACCAATGGCCCCAAGTACCTTTGATGCGTACACTCTAGTTGGAGAACCACAGTGTCCGGGGCCCTGCCAAGCAGGGATGTGTGTTGTCTGGTTCTCTACGGCCCAGCCAGGACCCCACGCATCATAGGATTCAGGACGTAGGCCTTTAAGGCTTCACCTGCCTAGAAAATGCCAACAGGAGGAGAAAACAGAGGCATCCAGTGAGGACCAGGCCCCCAGGGGCCGTGAAACAGACTGGTCTCCAGGTTTTGAGGGCACCCCCAATTCCATCTTGACAAGTTACCAGGCTCCACGGATGCACGGGGCTCAGGCAGGCTGGCCGTGTTTAACTGCCCGGGTGCATGTGCAGTACAGGAGGCTGAGAACCGTGGAGCGGTGAGAGGAGGAACCTCGCAGCACCCCAGTAAACCCACTGGATACCCGAACTGGAGGGAGCAGAGGACATCCCCAAGGCTGGGAACCGTGTCTGAAGGCAGGAGGCAGAAATGTCATCCCCTTTCCTTCTCCCTCCCTCCCTGCCTGCCACTGCAGGTGTGACAGTGAAGTTGGAGGAGGGTCTCCCATGAGCACCAGGAGTCAGCAAGCACCTTCCCCCTCGCAGGGGTGGAGAGGGCCCATGGGACTCATGCGCTGGAGGTTAAGAGCCAGTGAGCTGCGTCTGTTCATCGTCTCTGCCTTGGTGGGAGGCGATATGCTCTGTGGCATCCTGAACAAGCACTGGCGGCAGCCGCCTGGGATTTGTGGGGTGACCCCGAGGGAGCTCTTTGCTTGGAGCCTCAGTTTCTTACCTGTAACACGAGAATGCCAGTCCCTGCTTCATGGGGTCACCGTGAGGACCAGCGGCCCGGGACACAGGCGCACTGCCCAGCCCCTGGAGCCACAGGTTTGGATCCTGTGCTGACGGGCCATGCGGTGCTATCCTGAGCTCTGATCACCCCTCCCTGGCCATGTGCTGAGGGCCTTCACTCTAGTTCTTTCCGTCTGGCCCAGATTTCATTAACCCCTGCAGGAGCAGCAGCATGATGTGGGAGTGAGGAGAAGGATGCAGAGGCCAGCTGCCTCAGTTCGAATCCTGACACCAATGCCTTCTACGTCTGTGGCAGGGGCAAGTGATGTAGCCTATCTGAGCCTCAGTTTGTCCATCTGTAAAATAGGAATAATGATCACAGCTGCTGCTTGAGGAGTAGCTGTGTAGTGCTTAAAACAAAACCTGGAATGGTGTGAGTCCTGGACCACATTAGGGAACACCGAACCTCCCGTGTCGGTCCTGGTAGCAACTGTAATGTCCAGACCCCCAGCTTGGGCCTGACACCCACCACCTGCCAGAGCTCTGATCAGCCTGGGGCATTCTTCCTGTAGCGCCTCATAAGGACCTAACGTGCCAGTGGGAACCCAAGCTGCCGGCATCAGAGCTTCCGGACACACGGGGCAGGAGGATGCGAGGCTGGACTTCTCTGGGGGAGTTTTTCCACAGGGTCTGGCCTTGCCCTCTCATCCTGCACCCTCTCCCCTCAACATTCCCAGAGCCTGTGCCACACAGGCTGCCCTGGGAACATCCCAGGCCGGGAGGGCCCTGCAGCTGCTGTTGTAGAAGAAGGTAGATAGATTCCACTGTCTGGACTCACTGCAGTGGCCCCAGCCGGCCTATCTCCCCCACCCCAAGGCTTTCTCCCCTGGCCCTTTCTCTGCTTGGGACACAATCCCCCACCTTCCTTCAGTGCCATTTCTCTAGGCCGTTCTGACCCCTTAGGAAAGACGCATGTCCCCCCTCCCTCCAGACCACAAGACTTCTGGGAGCAGGGACCTGACACATAGCAAGTCAGTTAGATGAATGAATGAATGAATGAATGAATGAAGAGACTAGGCTGGTCAAGGCTATGGGACAGTAAGCAGTGCTCACTGAAGAGCTGGGATTTGGGGCAGGGTTGGGAGGCCAGGAAGGGAAAGCTCCGTGTGGGCTGGATGGTGAGAGGCTCCCTGGAGGAGGGGGAAGGTGCCTGTGAGAGGGTGAGGTGGAGAAGGTGTGGTGGAGGGGGAGGCTGGGAACCACGCTCACAAGGGAAGAGTGACTTCCGGGCTGCACAGACCCAGGCTGTGATGCGGCAGGGGCATCATCACTAACTGCCTGCCTCACGGAGTAGAGAGGATAAGGCCTTATCTCCCAGATCCTCCACACTAGACCCTGTTCCTGCTTTTGCCTCAGCACATGGGACAGGACCCTGCAGCCTGCAGGTGCTCTGCAACTCACTGACAGAATGGATGGGTGTGTGGGTGGATGGACGGGTGAGTAGATAAACTGATGAATGGATTGTTGAGTAGATACTTGGATGGATGATGGATGGATAATTGAATGAATTGGTAGCGGGTTGATAGATGATGGGTAAATGGATATAATGCAGGGATTGTGGCAGAAATGAAAATATATTGCCTCTACTCTCAGAGAAGTGAGAAAGAATCAGAAAAGGTCAAGTATTTTGTATCACTCGTACGAGAAAATTAGGATTGACCTATGTGTTATGGTGCTCTTGTGATCCAAGGAAATACACCAGAAACGCAGGGGCTAGAAATGAGACGAGCCTGAAGAAGAAACAGAGCACAGCGGGCCGCTGGCTGAAGGCATCCCTCCCACCCCATACCCTGGCCATGCCGCCATGGGCACGAGAGCAGCCGGCTGTGGTTGATCATGTCTGCCGTATAGCCCAACTCCCAGCCTGGTATATACCCAGAACTTAGGAGGGCTTAAGAAGTGACGGATTCTCAGGACAGAGACACGGGAGGAATTTGTGTGTATGCGTGTGCACACATATGTACTCGTGTGTGTGCATCTGCATGAGCCAGCAGACACCCTCTGACTCATGTGCACTTTCTCGGGAGAGATTCCCAAGAAAGGGAGTCTCACTTTCCTGTCTGCTCACACTTGGAGATGGATAGAGAGAAACACTGGCATTGCCCACGCCCCCAGATACACGCTCACACAAGAACACACACTCTCTGAGGCCAACACACACAGGCACGGAGAACAGACCCACCGGAAGGTTCGACCCGCCCCAGACCAGTCGCACAGACGAGCTGACGAAGATGGACGGGACACTTGCGGCCCATGGTGACCGTACACAGCGTGAGGATGACTCAGGAAGCCCCACGGGCAGGTCCCAGGAAGAGGCTGCGTGCGCAGGCTCTGATGCTGAGGAAGAGGCTCAGGATAAAGATAAATGAGGTCCTTCCAGGAGCCTGGGAGTCAGCCCAGCAGATCGTTCATCTCCGTGGCCTCAGATGTGTCTGTGACGGTTCTAGAGTTTTCCTGGATGCAGGGGACGGATGGGGAGAGATTAGTCACTCCTGGCCAGGTCTGCTCCAAGGGTTGAAGGGCCTCAGGGGAACCCTCAATCAACAAGGCAGGGGCAGGGGCTTGGGGACTCTCTGAGGAGCTGCGGTTCAGGAGAAGTGGCCTTTGTGCCCTTGTTCACTGCTTTCTAAGGCTGCTTTTCCTCTTGGCTCTGGAGCCCTCGGGTGACAAGGAATTGAGCAAAGTGCCTGCCTGTCCTGGTGCGGGAGAAACAGAGGCCTCGGGCCCCCAGGCGGGGGCTGGGGTGACCGGTAGGATGGATGTGGGCATGGGGCATGCGTCTCGGTGGGCTCCAGGCGTCAGTGGCTGCCTGTGGGTTCTTTCCCCACCTCATGGGCCTTCCTTTTTCCCTGCCTCCCCCTCCAGATCAACTTTGTATTTCTCTTCAACATCGTCAGGATCCTAATGACGAAATTGCGAGCATCCACCACATCGGAAACAATCCAGTACCGGTGAGCGTGGGCGCCTTAGCCCCCCGAGGGGAGCCTGCCTCCGGCCGGGCCCTCTTAGTCCTCCTGGTCCTCAGCCGGGGAGCTTGCTGAGGGGTCCCAGAAGAAACGGCACCTGAGTGGGGCCCTGCCTGCAGTGTGGTCTCAGACCAGTCCTGTCACCATCTCACCCCCGCCCCCCAGGAAGGCAGTGAAGGCCACCCTGGTTCTCCTGCCCCTCCTGGGCATCACCTACATGCTCTTCTTCGTCAACCCTGGGGAGGACGACCTGTCGCAGATCGTGTTCGTCTACTTCAACTCCTTCCTGCAGTCATTCCAGGTGGGGCGTGTGACCTGATGGGGACTCCTTCCTGCCCTAGAACGCTCGGGCACCAGTGTCCTCACAGAGACTTCCCCCGGGACTGGTGTATATATGTGCACACTGCAATACGAATGCATGCACACACTAATCCCGAGCCCCGGCCCCTGGCACCCCCACCCCAGGGTGGGCTCCCCTCTTGACTGGGTCTCAGTCACCCTAGCCTGCACCTACCGAAGGTCCGGCACCTGTTCTGAGGATTCGTGGCAGCCTGTCGCTTGCAGTGGACCCCAGTACACCCACGCCGTGAGGGGTGGGCTCCCCGCAGCTCTTAGCCTCTGGGGTCCTCGGGGGCAGTGTTCCAGGCCAGCCCTGCCGCACGGCTCGCCAAGCAAGTCACTGACGCCTCCCTCCTTCCTTTCCAGGGTTTCTTTGTGTCTGTCTTCTACTGCTTCTTCAATGGAGAGGTAGGAGACCAGGCTCTGGGTTAGTCCTCAGTTCCCACTCTGGTGGAGTGGCCCAGCCTTTTGGAAGTGCCTGGGTCCTTGGCTCTGCCGAGCTCTACCCCCCAACTTCGGGAAACGGGAATCCTGCCTGAGGGTCTCAAACCAGTTTAGAAGGCCAGCCGTGCCGGCCAGAAACAACACGCCAGCGCTTCACAAATGCACTCGGAGAGCCGGACGAGCAATGAGCAGAGGAGCCCGGGCTGCAGGGGTCCCATAGGAGAGGGAAGCAGAACACAGGCGTGACAGGGGAAAGCATTCCGGGAGCGAGTCAGGTGTGAGCCGCACAGCCAGGCCTTTATGGACCCAGGGAGCAGGAAAGACACCAGCACATTCCCCCACGACAGGGAGGGCCATACACCCTCAGGCCAGCTCCAGGGAGCGAGGCACCAGGGGCGGCCTGGTTGGTTAGCTCGCAAAGCCCAGAATCTTAGTGTGACCAGCTTGGGAGAGACGCTCACATAGGCCGGTGGTGGCTGAGGACACATGGTGGGTTAAGGGGCAAAGAGTAGACACAGTCCCCAGGTGCTGAGAGCTTCCAAACAGGAGGAGGGCCAGTGCCATCCTGAGGCACGTCACCTGCCGACGCAGGGGATGACGGTGGGGTGTCTCTGCTCGCTTCGGTCTCTGTTGATGAATGCAGACCGCAGACGGCGAAGTCCAGCAGTGGAGACTGGCCGGGGCTGGAGGACAGGGAGAGAAAGAGCTGTGAAAGCAAACAAACAGTGAATGTCTCTGGGGCATTTCTTCTGTCCAGCCGTGTGCTAAGCTAGCATATGGGGAACACGATCCATTGTGCAGAAAAATTCTTACCATGCAAATGAGAATAATACGGCATCAGCGACAGTCAGGTTTTGAAACGAATAGAACCGTTGGCTCTCCATCTCAGCAGCACATGCTGTGGCCAGTGAGGCAGGGTCTGTCAGCAGGTGGAGGAGGTTGGAGGAAGGACTTTCAGGAGGGAGAGCGGTGCTGAGTATGCACGAGGAGCTCACAGTTCGGCAGATGCCCCAGGAGAGCGAGAGGCAGATCTGAGAAGCTGCTGTGGTCCCACCATAGCGATGAGGTGGCAGAGGGATGGGGCAGGGAAGGCAGGGTGTCCCAAGGAAGAGTGGGGGCTGGGAGCTTCTCCAGGAGAGGGATGAGGCCAGAGGGCCCTGGTCAGTGCAGAGGAGGAAGAGGCGCCAAGGCTGAGATTCCAAGGCCAACAGGGGCTTCAGGGGGAGGACCTACCTTTGGAACCAGCCAGTGCCTGGGTGTGAGGGTGGCGGTCAGAAGGGCGCCCCACCTCCCTTGAAGGGCCCTGCGAAGGGCAGGGGAGAAGACTCTGGGTCCCAGGACTGGCCCCCGCAGGCCCGGCTGAGCCTCTGCCTCTCCCGCAGGTGCGCTCAGCCGTGAGAAAGAGGTGGCACCGCTGGCAGGACCACCACTCCCTCCGAGTGCCCGTGGCCCGGGCCACGTCCATCCCCACGTCGCCCACACGGATCAGCTTCCACAGCATCAAGCAGACGGCCGCCGTGTGACCCCTCCGCTACCCCGCTCACCCATCACTCCACCTTAGGGACAGCTTCCCCATCCTTGTCTGGCGCCTGTCTCTGGGTTCACCTTGCTGCGCGGGCCCTGGTGGGGGCGGAAGGGAGGGAAGAGACCAGCCCGGCCAGCCCAGCCAGCCCGGCCAGCCGGAGAGAGGCTGTGCGGCAGGCGGCGTGAGAGGCTCTCAGGAGCCAGGGCCGGCTGGGCCGGAAGTGTCAGTGCAGAGGGAGCAGAGGGGAGTCACAGGGACCAGCCCACCCCCCCACCCCCAGAGGAGCAGTTTACAAGTCTTCAGGCATTTGCCCATACCAGCCTCTCACTGTATCCTCACCGTAGCCCCATTCACAGATGAGGAAACTGAGGCCCTGAGCCAGAAGGGGCCTGCCCAAGTCCTACAGCTAGTTCTCAGCAGAGCCGGGGGTCCCCACTGCCCCCTTCAATGCGGTTGGCTCTCCTTGCCTTCTGCCTCCGTGCTCAGTGCTGCCCTCTGCGGTTGAGGGTGGTGGTCACAGCAATAGGAAGTAAAGGATTAATTTGGCTTCATCCCAGGGGCTCTCACCTACCCCCCACCCGAGACCAGGTCATCTCTCTGCCCCTCCCCAACCATGCTCCTGTCCCTGGGGTCCTAGGAAGGATGCTGCTTCCTGTCTTGGGAGACCTCTTCTCCACAGGCTCGGGACCTTGGGGAGGGACTTGTGGGGAGGAAGACACAGTTAGGGCAGCCATACAGTTAGGCCAACCAGAAGGTGTAGTGCAGGACAAGGGAGGAGGAGGCTGCCCCCGACTCCCCCGCCGGGGCAAGGAGTAGGACTGGAATATCAGAAACCAAAGTGGGTCTTTGATGATTAGAACCAATCTCCCAACCCCCACCTCAGACTGGGCTTCATTTCAGCCTCCCCTTCAGAAACCACGTCTCTGCTCTCTGCGAAATAAACCATGCCTCTGTGGAAACAGCCTCCCCTCAGGTCAAGTCAACCAGGCATGCGAAGGGGTGCTGTGGCCAAGGATGGGGGGCTGGATCCATTCTCGTTTGCAGAGCCCATGGCCCTGGCCTAGGGCTGGTTCTCCATCTCTGACCTGTGTGTCTGCAGGTCTGTCCATTATCATTCCCCGGGACAGTGTCTGCCCCTCCTCCCCAACCAAGGGCAGTTTAATTCAGCACAGAGGACGGGTGCAATTCACACAGCAGGCCGCAGCCCGTCCCAAAGGCCAGTGTCCTGAAATCCAGAGGCAAGTGTAGACAAGGCCCCAACGGTCTCCGTGAACAACCATGAGGGAGTTTCCAGGAGACGGTGGGAGTGGAAGGGACTGAGGAGCCATCAGGCCAGGATTCAAAAGGGCTTTTGGGAATACTCCCAAAACATTTTTTTTTTTGTAATCCGGTATCCCATCTTGCATGTTTTTGAGTTGACATCTAATATCTTCTACATACATTTTTAAATGTGCAAGAGAGAGTGATATCTGGCATTCGGCAAATATTCACATTTTAACACAAACCTGCCACAACACTTTAAAATACATCGTTCAGAATCCCAACACAACAGTGATTTAATAACCACCCTCATCTGTTTAAAAAAACATGCTAACCAGCTAACTCTCCCTCAACAGCAAAAAAATTTTACATTGTTCCTTTTCACTTTGAACTTGTATCTTCATTCCATTTCCCCTATGGAATTTTCTAGTAATGCAGTATTTTTACGGTTGAAAGTATTCCTTTGCTCACCTTATCATACTTCTCTGCCACAAAATATATTTATAAATTGAAATAGAAATATTTAATTTTCTGTGACCGAAATCTGTAAGTTTTTTGAAAACGTCTTCCAGATTGAGTTGTTACCACTATTTTTCATATAAGATATAGTATACAATTGAATCACACAACACAGACACTAAACGTTTTTGTAAGTCGATGTTAAACCTCAAAAGGGAAATGTATTGGAAACACATCTTAATGGAATGGATAGGCATTTCATCATTCATGAATCCATGGGTGAATATTTGTTGCCAGAACGAATCAGGACTCAGCATCGTTTCTTTTCTTTTTTCTTTTCTTCATTTTTATATCCCCACACGCTGAGAAGCCTTTGCACATAAATAAGTAGAGGTCACACACTTCTCTGAACTCCCCAGATGGATGCCAAAAACTGCATCGCGATGTATCATCAAAAATTATGTGTCAGCCACTTGATTAAGTCCTCTTTAAATCTGGCTAAAAAAAAAAAAATGAAAACCATCAGCCTTCCCCAAGGGCTCGGCTACTCAGGGGCACCTGGGAGCTGCTTGGCCCTTGGGCTGAGCCAGGAGAGGTTAACCGCTGGCCAACGCACCTGAGTGCTATGCAGCAAAGTGGGGCCACGAAGTGCCTGTTGGAGTTATGAACCTGTAGACGGCAATGATGCCGGCAGGCGTGGCAGGTGTGGAGCATCTGTGGGGTGGGAGGTGGAAGGTGAGCTGACATTTTCCTGCTGGGAGGGTCTGTGGGGGAGGTGCTACCCGCGGGCTGAAGCCTCCAGACCCCCGGTTTCCCGTGGAGGAGGCTAACTAGCAGTAGGAAAGAAAATGGACAGAGCGGAATGAAGGCTCACAGAAACTGACCACCAACATGTGGAGGTCCGTAGCCAGAGACACACAGAGGTGCACAGACGTGGAGGCAAACACTCCTGGGGCCACACGGGGAGGCCCAGAGGGACCCGGAGAGACCCCTGGAGACACGCACGGGTGCACCCAGACACTAGATACACACGCGCCCATCCGTCGGTCACTCCCCATTTCCTGGACACCACCCTGTGCCACGTATCGAAATAACACCACTAATAACGCGAGGTTCCTGCTTCAAGAAACTCAGGGGGCGCCTGGGTGGCGCAGTCGGTTAAGCGTCCGACTTCAGCCAGGTCACGATCTCGCGGTCCGTGAGTTCGAGCCCCGCGTCGGGCTCTGGGCTGATGGCTCAGAGCCTGGAGCCTGTTTCCGATTCTGTGTCTCCCTCTCTCTCTGCCCCTCCCCCGTTCATGCTCTGTCTCTCTCTGTCCCCAAAAAATAAATAAACGTTGAAAAAAAAAAAATTTAAAAAAAAAAAAAAAAAAAGAAACTCAGAATCTAGTTGGGAAGAAACAGCTCCCAAACGGTACAAGGTAAAAAGCAGAAGAAAGGATCTGTGCTCTGTGTCCCCGCCTGGCTGGATCCCTGGTGTCCACGTCCACGTGTTGTGGTGAGGGGAGAGGAGGGTCGGGTCCGAGGACCGAAAACAAGTCAGGTTCTGCGGCCGGCCCTTTCCTCAGCTCCCTGTTTTTTTCCATCTCTCTGAGCCCACACCCATGGTGGCCCCAAGCCAGACAAGGTTTGGGGGACACAAGAACCTCGGATGCCCTCCCCTACTCCTTTCCCTTCTCCCACTGTCCGGGGAACCCGGGACTGCCACGGCGGGCAGTGAGGCAGCTGGGTGGGAAGGGGGCTGACGCGGGGTATGTCTGGGGCTGCAAGGCCCAAGGGAGTCCTTTCCTAGCGTGACGCTTCAGCCGGGGTCAGGGAGAAGTCTGTGGAAAAGAGGCTGGCCCGGGGCCCACAGCTCTGAGAACACGCCTGGGTGGCTCAAGGGAACCGACTGGGCTGCTCTTTGACAAGAGACTTTGGGAACCTCTATTTCCAGACGGGGTGGAATCTGGGAATCTGCACATTAACAAGCCCCCCAGGCGTTTCTGTTGCTGTCTGGCGTGGGAGCCGTGGAACAAGGCAACGTCTCGTCTCCTTTTTCCAACACGCACACGTGTACCACTTTGGAAAGGTGAGTGACCTTGCCTGCCTTTCTGGAAGCCTCTAGGGGAAGGCAGTTGTAGCAGGAGGGAAAGAAGCAGGTACGGAACACGTAAATTTTCCCATAAATATGCTTAGTATGATTTCCAGGCTTTACCCCTGAGATGCCACTAAACCTCTTGAGGGAGCCACCCCACCTAGAGAAGTCAGTTAGCAGGGGGAATGGGCGGAGAGCGCCCTGAGATCACTGCCCCGTGTTGACTGAGTTTCCCCAGATTTTGTCGGCAGGGATTTCTTTGCTCAGAGCTTGAGGCCCTCCCACAGAGCTGGAGCATGCTTCCCCCACCACAGAACCACCACGGTGCACTCCATCTGGCAAATCCCGTCCATCCTACAGGACTCAGCCCGAAGAGCCTCCCTTCCAGGAAGCCGTCCTACCAGTGTCAGTCAGACAAGGCTCCTGTAGGAGCTCCCAGGGCAATCCTTGCCAGGCTCCGCCACCAGGCTGGGAACTGCTCAAGGCATGTGCCATTACTAACGCCCACAGCAAGAACTCTGCACACAGGAGGAGCTCTAGAAATATTCATTGAATAAACTGGCCTTTCGTATTTGCTAGTAACTCACAGGCCAGCGTTCAGTGCCAGCAGGACAGACCAAAGACACAAAGAATCCCAGAGATCTATGAGCTTTGAAAGGGGGAGAAAATCCATTCTCCGGCTCATATCTCCCCTCACCACCAGAACCGGGGGGGCCAGGCCCAGCCTGCGGGCATCCCCCTCTCCGCATGCAGGCAGGAAATTGGAAGAGCACCCCCACATCCTTCCAAGACTCGCCTGCAGGTGTCCATCCATCAGTCTCAGGCTGAGGGGCCCCCAGGCCTTGATGGGCCCTGACTTCCTACAGGGTAGAGTTGGGCCGACCAGACCTGTGCCCCACCCGTCTAGGGCTGTGCCTGCTGTCCTGTGCTGGAGGAGTCGAAGCAGCTCTCCCAAGCACACGTCCTGGTTTAGAGGATTAACTGTACGATCGCTCTGCTGAAACCCCACATTGGTCTGAGTACGCAGCATGGGCCACACATGCTGCCTGGAGAAATGAAGGAAGAAAGCCAGGACCACAGAAAGTCCAGAATGTTAGCTACTGCACTTTGGAAAAACAACCCGCGCAAAGGGCCCTTCCAAGGCAAAGCCCCGTATCTGGTCTTGCTGGGCACGTGAGTGAGCAGGAAGGGGCAGGAGGAGCT